AAGTCGACAAATCCAAAATGAAACTCCTAAAATTGCATGAAATGTGAATAACGTGATGCAATGACATTAATCGAATTATGTGCCATAACATGAAAACAGAATCATGAAAGGAAAATTTTAAAAGCAACTCATGTAAACACCTTTATCATATTGAATTGAATTGAATTTAATTTTATTTGACAGATTTTAGACAAACTGTACAAAAAGTATTCCATACACTTTGTTAAAAAAAACTGTCGAGGATAAAAACACAATAAAGCCCTGGGCTTATTTCCATTGTGGTCCTCTGTTAAATAAAAACAATGTATGGCTTCAAAATACTAATGAAGAATAAAACAAACAGTCGCCACAGCGGTACGAACAGCCAACCTATCCAGCACAATGTCCCTCCAGCCGCCAACCTATTCACACTCAAGTAAGATATAATTTAAAAGATCCTCATCCACCATGCAAAACTAATTATCCTCATCAAACAACCATCTTTTAATAGCTTTTTTGAACAACCTTAAATCTTTTATTTCCTTGATTGCTTTTGGTAGTTTGTTCCACATGATTGCACTTGTATATAAAAACATATTTTTCCCCACTAAACTTCTAAATTTAAATAAACAAATATTAAAATCCCAACTCCTAGTACTGTATGAATGCTGTTGCCTCACCATTTGAAAATAGTTCATCAAATAGCTAGGAACCACATTATTAAACATTTTACGTACCATTCCCAGTTTTAAAAAACACACTCTATTACTAACAGTTAACATACCTAATTTATTAAAAGACTCTTTGTGCAAATGTGCTCTAGGATGCATTTTTAAAATTATTCGTACTAATTTATTTTGTGCCTTTTGCAATTTCTCCTTCAAATTTTGTGAGCAGCTACTGTACCAAAATGACGTAGCATAATCAAAATGGGGTTGAATTAAAGCTCCTGCCAACAATTGTAAAGAATGAACATCCAAAAGATCAGATTGCCTTGCTAAAAACCTAATTTTTCCACAAATCTTCGTAATAACTTTTTTTGCCATAGCATCTCCTGATAATTTATTATCTATTAAGCAACCCAAATAGTTTATCACATTTTTTGACTGAATTTTCCAATCATTAATCTTAACTACCAAATTATCATCTTTTTTTAATTTCACTCTTGAAGCAAATAAAATAGCCTCTGTTTTACCCATGTGTAAAGAAAGTTTGTTGTCTAAAAACCAGTTGTAAACACTTTTTAACTGTGAACTCATAATTTCTTCCAGGGCCCTTTTGTCATGATGAGATACTAAAATTGCGGCATCATCAGCATAAAGATAGAGCTCCTCTGAACACGCTATTTTTAAATCATTAATATATAAAAGAAAAAATAATGGACCTAAAATACTTCCTTGAGGTACTCCACAGTTGATTGATAAGGGAGCAGATAATATACCCTTTATATCGACTCTCTGGTTTCTATCATGCAGATATGACTGAACCCACTTTAAAGACACTTTATCAAATCCAATTGCCTTTAATTTATATAGTAAAATTTGATGGTCCACAGTGTCAAAAGCCTTCTGAAGGTCCAGCAGCACCATTCCACAATAGTTGCCACCATCTACAGCTCTCCGTATTTTGTCTGTCATATGTAATATACATGTCTCGGTGGAATGCAATGCTCTAAAACCTGACTGTAACTCATACAAAATATGTTTTTTAGTAATATAGTTGACTATCTGTTCGTGTACAATTTTTTCCAGAATTTTAGACATAACCCCTAAGATTGATACAGGTCTATAGTTAATCATATCTAATGTACTTCCTTTTTTATATAATGGTATAACTCTAGCACTTTTAAAATCACATGGTATTTTTCCTTGTTCAATAGATAAATTTAAAATATGTGGCACCAAGGGGGCAATCACTTTAACAGAGTCTTTAAAAAATCTAGCAGGAATATTATCAACTCCAGGAGCCTTATTTAATTTTAACTCACTAATAATTTTTAAAACTTCACTTTCTGTAACAGGTCTCAGACTAAAAGAATCCGGCAAAATGTCCTGTTGTCTATAAAAAGAAAACACTCTATCTTCATTGTAAATATCAGGTTGCCCTGGAAGCTGACCACATAATTTTTTTGCTAACAATATAAAATACATATCCTTCGGATGAACTATTAATTTGTCTTCTACCTTTAAGTTAATTTTAGATGATTTCCTACTTTTAGCATTTGAATAACCTAAATTTCTCAGTACACCCCAAAGTTTTTTTGGATCAAATTTATTTTCATTGATCTTATCCTTAAAAAAAACCCTTTTTGCTTCTCTTATTTTGTTCCTAACCTCATTTCTCTTTAATTTATAAAACTCATAACTGCTACACTCACTATCCTTCCTAAACTTGGCAAAACTCTCATCTCTTATCTTTAACAGTTGTAATATTTCATCTGTAATCCAAGGGTCTGATCTTTGTTTAACTCTTATTTTTTTATATGGTGCTATTTTATTCAAAGCATTACTGAACAGATCCTTAAAACAATCCCATGCTGCCTCCACATCCTTGGATCCCCATACCCCGGACCAATCAACTTTATCCAATATATCACAAAATAAATTAGGACTATAATTCTTCATTTACCTCACTAAAACAGTATTATGACCCATGAGCTTCACCTTTTGCACTTTTCTACATAAATATACTAAAAAATGATCACTCATACTACACTCAATAACACCACTACAACTTATCTTATCTGAATCAGATGTAAGAATCAAATCTATAATAGACTGCGATTTGGGAGTAATTCTAGTTGGAACCTTAATAATTTGCTTCAATCCAAAAAAATCTGAAAAATGTTTAAAAGCCTTATATAACACAGCGTCCACATTTAACATATCAGTATTTAAATCCCCACATATTATAATTTCCGATCCATGGGGTTTCACAAAATCATTTAAACTTTCGTCCAACAACTCATAAAAATTACTTTGATCTGGTGGCCGATACAAGTTTCCAATTAAAATAGGTTTACTCTTTGGTGATTATTGTCTTAATCACATTAAGACAAAAAATTCAAAAGTCAGGATCTCCAGCAGAAAAAAAAAAAATATATATATATCCAAAGATGCTGTTTTGAATTGTAAAGAAATCTGTTTTTGTAACTAATGAAAACCGCAGAAGTCAATGATTCATTTAATTGATTAGCCTGACATGTTTACTGTATTTAAAACATTTCAACACAAAATGTATGTCTTCAAAGGAGAAAAAAGTTCGTTTTTTACCCAGACATTCAAAAGAATAATTTACAGCAGCAATCACGTGAAACCATGATATTTTTATCCAAGGTTATCATACCGTCAGAATCTTTTACCGGCCCATGCCTACTGGAGATCAATATTTTATTACCACTACTCATTTTATCCCAAGACAGAAGTAAAAATCAACCTTTTTTTAGGTTTTAAAAAGACAACCCAAATATACATGTATATTGTATCAAATCTGCTGGGTTTTATTTAAGTTTATATATCTTCTCTTATCACTATACAATGCTGTATATTAAACCCAAATCCTTAAGTATCTGCCCTTAACTCCTAATAAAACACTTTTAACCTGTTGAAGCAGTTTGCCTTAGTAGGCCACAAGTCACTACCCTCACATATCCACACTAAACAAGTTGTATATCCAAAACCCTTTGGGCTACAAGCAGTTTACAAGCAGTATCTTTTAAACTAGACAATTGCAAATATTAGGTCTGCACATTAGTCTTTATTATCATGCATGCATGATAATAGTAAATGCAATACTCACAAGAGAAATGCAAAATCTGACCAATCAGATGGGGCCTTTACTATCTTCATCATTCAGCCTAGAGCTGAAAATAAACACTAATGCTGGGAGACCATGATGACACCCAACAACATTCAGAATTTCCAACAAGCTTTCCAGTCATTCATCTTAACATTTCATCTTGATGTAGCTTTTTTTAATTGTTTGTTTAATTAGCTCAGGAAATATCTATCAGCTGTTTATTTGAATAAGATCATAACATAAATAATTTTTTTAATTGCTGTTAAAGTAGCATTTGGAAAGTTAGTTATAGCGCAAGAAATGTTATCGCCACACTCAACAACATTGCGTATTTCCGCAGTGTTGAGCTGCTCTAAGGAATATTATAGCAATTTCAAAAAAAAAAAGTGATGACAGAGTATTGATGAACAAAATAAGTTGTACATATTGTATGCAAAAATACAGTATTATGAATATTTATCAACACTGAAAATAATTAAATAGATTTTTTGAGGGTTTTTGCCCGCATTGTCCAGCCCTAGAAATAAACGAGACATTCTGTTCCTGGTGGTGGTTATGCTACTGATTTGAACAGTCAGCTGGTTTGGAAACACTTAAAGTTCACTCCATGTTCTCTGTGTATACATATGCTTGTGTACTGTAAGTACATATACACAAACACACGCACACACACAACTTTGAAAAGGCAACATGTTCAATGTAATTCTGAAACAAATTTATTTATGACAGACATACATAAACCAAAAAACATGCCATAATACAGCTATTGTGTTATGTTCAATTTGGTTAGGTTTAACCAATTAAAATAGTTCTAATATTCAAATTTGTTCACATGTTTACAAATTTGTTCACAACTTTTAACAGCGTAGCTTGATGCGGTTTTTAAAATGTTAGATAGGTGCCATTATATTTCTTCATTTTCAGTTTATTTGTCGATATAAAATGGTTAAGAACAATATAGATTAATTGTTACATAACATTGAATAAAGAAAAACCTTGATAAAACTATACTAATCTCTACCTATTGACTGAATACAAGTAAAAACAATTGTCAGATAATGATTAATACTGTATTTTGTTTAATACCAATCATTTTCATTCAAATATAGCATGATGCATTGTTGTAGTATACTCAAATATGCTGTAAGACACTGTGGGTTGAGAGGGAGGGGCTTACAGTAGATTAGCAATAAATAAATCAGCATTCAGAGTTGACTGCTCAGACAGAGTTAGCATAGATTGCTGATGTGTATGAAAATGTCTATTTTTAACTACATAAAATTGAGCTCTTAACAACTACATAGGGTATAATATTTCACTTATTCCTTTACATTGTTGTCTTATGAATCACAAGACAATGTTTTACAGAGGATTACTCTGAAGAATTTTTTAAGTATATTTTTGAAGACAGATAACTGATGAACTCAACTGTGAAGATCATTTCTTAAATTTCCAGCCCAGTTGGACTTTCAGGCAGGTAAGTTTATTATTATTATTGTTATTATTATTATTATTAACTGCACTATTTGACAATTTCTTATTTTTTTATTTAATTGTCAAATAATAAATTAATTATTAATGGTAATACCATGAATTATAACAATCAGTATATTCAATTTTAATTCATTAACCTTGTTTATCACCAACAATTTACAGTAAATTGATTATGAAAAGAAATAACATAGAATGTTAAGGAGGACTTTGAAAAAACTACTTTGAGATACATTAATCTGATATACAGTATATTAGCAACCTAACACACTCGGCAAAAACATAGCATGGTTTCCAATACATTAATTCTTCCATGGTGGGGCGCCACACCAAAATTCATCTCGCCACATCTAAATTCCAGCTTCTCATTCAAAACATTCAGTCGTTGCTGCTGTTAGTTTTTAATAGCAGGTTATAAATCGCACTTAAACGCATTAAAAGGTTAGTGAATTATAACAGCGCAAACTCTTCTGTCATCATAGTAGAGCTGTGCGTTATTTGTTTAACACTTTAAGGTGACATTCTGACTGACTGAGAAAACACGACGTAGCTTTCAGTTAAGATGAACACAGTTTCCACAATTATACTTTATAGATAAAGGTCTGTGGTTGTGCTTATGACTTTACAGAGTTTATAGCCGTTTCACTTTACTTCAGGACGCATTATTGCTGCTCTGTAGGTCTACTGGAGACATTCAGAAATATTCCTAGCAAATCTGATAACCGTTAGAGACATACTGACTACATAAACACAGTAAATCACACTTCAGCAGTGTGTATTTGAGAGCGCACAAGAAGATCTGCGCTTGAGCAGCATATATTTGAGGGAGCGTGCAAGAACTTGAGCACGAACAGAAGAAATCGGTGTGCAAGCAAAGAAATTTGCTCATATTACATAAATGCGATCTCGACTTGCAATACTGCGCTCACGACATTTCTCCATTTGTCATTGAAAAAATATGGTTGGTAGATTTGTGTAAAAGACCTGCTGTCACAGTTGAAAATCCTGAAGGAAACTTGCTTTATTTTATTTTTTTGTGACATGTTTAATGTCACTTTTAATCAACCTACTAAATACATTCCTTACATTTTCATAAATTACTAAGTATGTCAGAATGTATTTACCAAGTTGAAAGCGACATAATAGATGTTACAAAAAAAAATAAAATGTATTAGCCGAGTGTATTATGGCCTAATTAGCCAAGCATAAAAAATAAGTAACATGGCAAGTTATTTAAACATTTGTAAATAAAATAGTAAATTTATGCAATTTTGGATTACATTAAATTGATAATATTTTTGTGGGAAAAGTGTCAGGATTGGGCTGTTTTTTTTAGTTTTTTGTCTTTATATTGTTTCAGCATCGACATCGCAATGTGATTATTTGCATCAGTCACTTTGTAGAACGTGCAATGTAGAGCCTGTATTATAATTTATCATGTGCATGTGTTTTTGAGGCCTGTGACTGTATAAGGATTTTAAAAACAGTCAAGCATAAGAAACTTTGATTAATTTTATTGACTTATTTTTGTTTTCATTATTCAATTACTGTACCTGAACACTGTTAGATTCGGAAAATGATAAAACGCTGTTTATTTCCATCGTATCATTTATTTTTTTTTATTGTATTCATCTATGTGGATGGTTTATTAGATTATATACTGACGCACTTCCCTACAGAATCAACCCAATTAATCTAAAACTGTTATATTACATAAACATTGTTACTGTTACATTACATTACAATCTAAAATGATCAATCATTTCCAAACAGAGATATGAAATCATATAGGGAAACTTTATTCTTATGGCATAATCCCAGAATAACATAATATTTTAATATTTGGATTAGGCATGGGACAATAACTGTTTTCAAGTTATCCCACAGGACTTATTTTAAAGTAGTAATCGCAACACCGTGATACTGGGAAACCATGATATTTTTATCCAAGATTATCATACCATCAGACTCTTATACCGGCCCATGTCTAGAGGGGATTATCTGAGAATGTGAAGTGCAATAGTTAAAATAATCACCTAATGCTCCATTTATTAGATGTGTTGGGTCTTACAAAAGCCACTTTTCCACTGCGTGATATGCCAAATGAAAGATCATAATAAATCATTCAAGGCTGAAAGCTGCAAAACAGTCATCAGAAACTACATAGGAAAATAATATACACCTCAAGAAAGAATGGACAAAAGAAAGCAAGAAAAGCCTTAATTCTGACATTCTTTAAAAGTTTTGTTTTTTGTTGTGTCATTTTAAATGTTCAGTCTTGTTAGGCGCTGATTTTCATTTCTCTGTGTTTGTGGAAAAAAGCAGTTTCCGGAATAAGCCCGTGCACATCTAGAACGTGCTGACGTAAGACTTTTGCTTTAGCCAATCACAACAGTCAGACGCATTTACGTCCGCGCGGTTTGTGAGAATAAAAGCCTTTGAATATTTTTCCAGACACATTTAGCTGCTAGAAGTTAGTCAGATAACGTTTATATGTTCTTCTTAACGCCAACTGTGTAAATAATCATCGATGAGATGCTTATGATAAGCCGTTGTTTGTTTACGTTCGTGTGCCTGTGAAACAGCCTGTGAGCGCCAGCACACGCACATATTATGAACATCTCGACATGCGAAAGTGATCCTGAGAAAGTTGTTCACAATATTGATCATCCACAGAGTATGTAATTTAGTCAAATGTTTACAAACACAAGCGCAGCCGTTTAAAGCTCATTTGTGGTGAATGATGTCAGAATTTACCGGTATTTTGGAATGGATGTGTGAATGCTCTTTTCCGGAAAATTTCCGTAACGTCCTCGCCTGTGTGAACAGCGCTTTTTTCAATATACCGGTAAAGTTGTTCCGGAAATTTTCTGAATATTTACCGGTATCACTGTGTGAAAGGGGCTACTGACTGGGCGCAGCCATGTCTAGCTTCAGTGGGTGACCATGTGAGAGTTGCAGGGAACTAGCTGCTGGCAATGCGGCAATACAGCAATACAATAGTGGCTGTTTATTATTTACATATAGCAGGCTTTGTGTCTCGTGTCACAAATCCAAAGATGCTGGTAGTGTCAACTGTCTTGGTCCACTCAATGATAAACTGTGTATACACGTTTTGTCATGTTTTGGTAATGGAGCATGTACTAGACACTAGTGTTGTCACGATACTGGAATTTTCAACTGTCATACATTATTTATATTCAAAAATATTTGAGAAAAAAAATTCATAACATTATGATTATACAAATGAAGTAAGGAGGAGAAAAAAATGAACAAAACCATTAGCATTTCAAAGTAAAATTCAAAGTATAACAGGAATCTCAGCAGCCCTACTGTCCAAAATGTAATACATTACTAGTAAAAACAAAAATCAGTGCAATCGCATATTTAGATAATGTTTCACATATAATGTTATTTCTTTCATCATTTACTCACTGTAACATCAGCATTTTCAATATTGCATTACACTCTTTGATACAAGTTTTTGTATCAGTTTTGATTTGCATTTTGCCTACAGCATCAAATATGGAAAATTACTCCAATGATATATCATCACGAAGAGTTAGTGAGTATAACTATTTTTTTTCTGTACTAATAATACAGTATTTTCCGAGAACACAGTAATTTCTATTTCAAATCCTGATTGTAGAAGTGCTGGAAAAACATGAATTCACCATAGAAAAAGAACTCGGACAAGGGATTTCAGGACGAACATTTCTGGTGAAAAATACAGATGGAGATCTTTTCGTGGTCAAAGAGGTCAACTACAGAGATGTGAGTATAGTCAAACATGCATTACTGTAATGACTGAAGTGTTGAGATATGGAATTATAATTGAATCAGAAATGCCATTTTCCATTGTGACTTCAAGATTCAATGTGTTGTCAACAGAACGTGCCTCTCGACACCGTCAAAAATGAAGTCAACATCCTAAAGAAGCTTCACCATGGATATATTGTGGCTTATGAGGACTCATTTGAAGGAATGACCATTTAATTTTTTTGTCATCATTCTTACAGGTTATATATTCTTTGTCTTATTAAAATATATTTGTTTTTTTGCAGATGTAGAATCTGGACACTTGTACATTGTTATGGAGTACTGTGCCTGGGGAGATCTTCACAACAAGATGCAAGCACAGAAAAGAATCGGGTTTTTTGAAGAACAACAGGTCAGTGTCTACAACTTTGGCAAGAAGCATAACTAATCTAGAATTTCATATAACAGATTACAGCAATTAATCAATTTCTTAACTGCTCTTTAACAAATGATTTATTCAAAAAAATTGGAGATTATTCTTTAGAGATACTAAATCTCTTCCTGAAAGAATGCACTGCTGCTGACTTTGCCATTGAGAATAGAATGCTGGCAGCCCAAAGTTTATGGAAGGATGTTGCACTCAAGCCCATCTACAGATAAAGACTTAAGACAGAACTCCAGTCTGAACCTGCATGCAAGGGTGTAGATCTATTATCTTTAAAGTCTCTATATTCATATTGATAGTCTGATGAGGAGTGCTTCCAAAAACCTAGTCTCTTTCACCAAGTTAATTACCTAGTCCAACCCATTGCTAAGCAAGAACTCAAGCAAATCCTAGGAGGAAATATTTTGACAATTTTTAAAAATTGTGGTAAACCAGGCCACCAGAAGAGGCAATGACCCAAAAAAGCCTGAAGACCCACAATTGACCAAAATTTGATCAATTTAATTCCAAGTTGCCTAACATGTAAAATATTCCAGTCCATATATCTAATAATAGTACTTCTTGATAGTGTTGATTGACTTAGACCTATCAGATAATGTTCAATGTAGCTCCTATGATAAGCATTACATAGTCCAGATCACCAACCTTGGTCATGGAGTACCAGTGTGCCTGCAGAGTTTAGCTCAAACTTGCTGATATTATTATGCATGTAGTTTTTTTTTTCGGCTTTAGTTTAAAAATAAAAAAATTTCTGTTTACATGAACATACTAAAATGCAATGTGATGCATTTTGAGGGCAAGCTTATAACCAACAGGCAGATGTAATGACACATCAATGCTGGGTTCCCACCAAATGGGGGATTAAGTATTTTCTCAAGTAAATTGCATACAAGTCAATGCAAATGTGAGAAGAAAGGTGGATTATCTTCCCATGGGGAGAGAATGATGTGGAATACTTGATGCATTTGCTGCAAATGTGCAGAATTCACCTCATTCGCATCTCCTGCATCTTGCCTCTTTCTTCTTGCCTTTTCTTCTTATTCTTCAATTCCATGTCATCAATGCACATAGATACCAAGATACCAGGTAATCTTGAGAGATTTGTGGCTAGCCACACATATTTCTTCCATTTCATGGAGCCAAGGAGAGCTTACTCTTTGGTGTCCACATTGCAAAACCCATTGCATGAAACCCACTGTTTTTAGACCATGTCTGATGACCTGCATCAAGATTCCCAACACCCAGATTATGCAAATACATCCTCACCATCTATGGCATTGTGCTATTGATTTCTTGCTTAAAGCTATGCCCTCAAACATAGAGTATACCCACGACTCAAACCGAATACCAACCTATGGAGGATTCGATTAAAGAAGCCCTCAACAACAGATTATCCTTACATGTTCAACAATGTCATGGTTGACTTCTGGTCCCCTTTACCACTTGTCTCTGCTGCCTCAAAGCTGTCACGGTGTGGCCCCAAATTGTGAAGGAGTTGCAGAGGTTGCTTGGGTTTGCCATGTTCTACAAATGTTTCATCCACAACTACAGTTTTATTGCTTCCCCACACACCTCTCTGCTTAAAGGTAGACCCACCAAGCTTAAGTGAGTGGATACTTTTGCCCAACTTAAATAATATTTCACCATAGCTCCGATTCTTAAGAAACCTGGTCTCTATTATTAATGTTGATGCATTATATTTAGTAAAGTTCTGTAATGCCATCCCAGCAGAAGGCACTGACAGAGCTGCTCATTCTGCTTCTACACATGCTCCTGCTGATGCCTTATTTTTTGTTAAATTAGCCGCTGTCAAATTAATACTTTAAACTTTTTAAACTTCCAAAAAAATCATGTTTTTATTTAAATTTACCCTGAAAGTAGTTCCAAACCCTATTGATTTTTGTTTAAAATAACTTTTGAAGAAGCAAGCAAGCAAACAGTTGGCAATACCAACAGATTTATATCATAGAAAAGAATAACATGGAGGTCAACAGCTACCATCAACAGTTTGTTTACTAAAATTCTTTAAACATTATTTTGTGTTTAGAAGATAGAAACGCATATAGGTTTAAAACAAGTTAAGGCTTATATGAGGCTTCCATATAGAATACAAGGATACCATTGAAAAAGTAACTAACTTGTTGTTCCCCTTGTATCATTTGTGTACAGATCCGTGACTGGCTGGTTCAGATTTGTCTGGCTCTACAGTATATCCATGAGAACAGTGTTCTTCACAGAGATGTTAAGCCTCAGGTGTGTACTGTAAAAGCTCAGTGATTCAGGTCACCAAAGCAAAGTGTATCATTTACAAGATTTCTGCTCTCATTCGACAGAATGTTTTCCTTACTGAAGATGGCTACATCAACCTAGGAGATTTTGGCTGTGCAACGGCACTAAGCAGGTGAAACAAATATATAATACAAAAAAATCTGAGATATTTTGAATTTATCATTTTGATTTACAATATTTGATTTGTCTTTTTCAGAGCTGATGCATACGCACAATCAGTTGTGGGTGCAGATCTCTATGTCAGCCCAGAAGTTTATCAACGGAGATATAATTCCAAAAGGTAACTGTTTTGTGGTATAGTTTGGTTTGTTTTTAGTCACCTAAAGTATTGTATTTGACCTTATCACTAACTTTGACAATCTTTGTTTAGTGATATATGGTCTTTAGGATGGCTGGTCCATGACCTTTGCATGCTGGATGTGTGGGTGAGTACATTTTTCTCTTCTGCCAAAAATTCAACCCAAGCTCATTCTGAAAACATAGCCCCAGGGACCTTTCTGAAGACCGTGATTTACGTGGTCGGAGGTGCGTATGGCTGCAGTTCATTTTTTAAAAGCGAACAATGCGATATACGATCCTTTTTGCGCTCGCTGGCTGACAGCTCACCTCTTTGTGGAGGGCTTTCCCGCCGCAACCAGTTTGTCCGGTTAGCTCTTCGTGTACGTTGGAAGAGTGGAGACCCGGAGGGGAGCTGACCACGACAATGGCGACGACAGTGTTAGAGTCAGGGTAAGAGCTGTTTCAGAAATCAAGTAAGACAAAAACAGATTCCAAAAAATAAAGCGAACGAGTTCATAACAGGAATGTGATGAATGTGATGAAATCTGAAAACGTGATCAAAATCAGACGAGGGCTTATCTTTTTCTGGACGGCTTTTGTAAATCGTTGCTTGGGTTTGGGTAAGCGAGTGAGCAAGTGGGCAGGTGGGCGGGCAGGCTGGTGGGTCAATCTGTAAAACCGGTTGGGTTTAGGAAAGGAGGAGGAGGGTGGGTCAGCCGATTGCCCGGTCACCCAGTCAATCATTCAGTCATCTAGTCAATAGGACAGACGATCACTCGACAGCGGCCTCTAGCAGCTTTATGAGAGAACAGTGCGAGCGCAGAGAGTGGTTCGAGATGCGAAAAAGCGCACACAGCGGCCTCTCACGGATTCATGAAAACAAAAATTGCACAAATACGTACCTTGAGTGGTCTTCAGAAATGTCCGCGGGACTACTCTTCCAGAATGAGCCTGGGTTGCAAAAATTATCATGTGGTAATCTTAAAAGGTCATAGAGTTGATTCTTGGTTATTGCATGAATGGATAAACTGTAAGGCTTGACTGTAGTGTAAGTAAAAGTTGATACCAAAAACAGACTGTGAAAAGTGATTAGTTGACTTTAGTTAAAAGGTAAGAAAGCCACTGCTTTAAGAGTGATTTGTTTTCTTTACTTGAAGTGAGTAAACCTCATGCCTTAAATTAAATAAATGACCTATTTGCATAGTTATGAAAATAGTTCAACTTGAGTTGCAGCTGTTTTTTAAAGTAAAGGCAACTTGTTTCTTTTGAGTCAAAGGGTTTACTCACTTTACGTAAAATAACTAATTGCTTTTTACATTTAGCAAGCACAGATTCTACATATCAATCAGAATTGTGTTCTTTTATCTGACAGGCTGACTTCATAGATCGCCGTCGTCTTCATGCCAATAGCATGGCAGGAACCACCCCTGAAATCTCAGAGAGGTACTCGGAAGATCTACAGAAACTTATCAAACAAATGCTCAGCCGTAACCCTAAACACAGACCGTCAGCTGATGAGATTTTAGCAAAAGAATTCCTGAGAGAGGCAGTAAACAGAAACGAGAGAATTCCAGAAGTGCTGGAACAAAAGTTCATGAGTAGCATCAAGACCTTCGATGAGGCCTATACTGCCCACTATAAAGCCTTTCGAGCCTTAGTTCAGGACTGGGGGAAAACAACGGATTCTCTAGAGGCGATACACTATCGAGCCACAGCAGGCAGTCTGTCAGGAGCGGTGATTGGGACAGCAGGAGGAATCACTGCAGTGGTTGGTGCAATTCTGGCACCTTTCACTTTCGGAGCGTCTCTGATTGTAGCAGGAGTTGGTATTGGAGTTGGCGTCCTAGGTGGTGCAACAGGTGCTGCCTCCAACATTACCAACACAGTAAAACAAAAATCCCTCCGCCAGAAGATTGAAAAACTGAAGCAGGAATATGAAAGCGTGAGCGCACCAATTCTTGATTCACTGAAAACAGTGAGGAAGTTAATGACGAAAATAATTAAGTTTCATGATTTTGTCCGTAATTCAACGTTTGTTAACGTACAAATGTCATGGAGGTTAGGCAGGACCACAGTAGCCGGTGTCACAGAATTCATTACTCTGGGAATGCTGGCAAGTTTCGGCAGGATTGCCGTTCAGTCTGCCAAAGCTGTCCGAGCAGTAGCAGCAGCATCAGGTGTGTTGAGTGGACTCTTGGTTATTGCTGACGTCGCCTTCATAGTGAAAGACTCCAGAGAGATTCACCAGATGAGGCAACAGTGGAAAACAGATGATCCAGAAAAGGTCAAATCCAATGTACTCAAGTCGATTGCACAGATGAGGAAAACACACAAAGAGCTCTGCACTGTCTTGGAGGAAATAAAAGAAACCAGACAGGAACTAAATAAGTATATAGAAAAGATCTGGGAAGATCAAGAAATAGAGAGTTCAAACAATTTAACTTAAGACTAATTCAGCATTATTCCCACTTAGGGATGGGTATCGTTGAGGTTTTAACGGTATCACTACTTTTATCGATACCACTTATCGGTTCGGTACTTTAACAGTTCTCTTATTGGTACTTTTTGTAGTGTTTTTTATGGAAAAAAAACAGGCAAATTGAAAATAACTGTCAACATTTTGTTTTATTATTATGTTTTTATTGTATTAATATTTAATTATAAATTAACATGTTTGCCTTTTCTGGCAGAAGTTGGGATCTTTCTTGGTTTATTGTGCTCCCTGCAGTCAAAAATACCTCCTCTTTGAGTTGCAAAATGCAGTTAAATGAGAAATTGTTAATGTTTTTTCATTAACGCATTCTCGTAAATGAGTTAACAGCATTTTAGGAGTTAACTAGGAGTTTTTAATACAGTTTTGGAGCATCTTGCTAAGTAAAAATAATAGGGGTGTGAACCTACACTGGCCTCACGGTTCGGTTACGATTATCATGCCATTGATTCGGTTCAATTCGATATCTCGGTGCATTGATGATGCTTTCCAAACATGATTATATTTTTTCCCTTACTACACAAAACTTTTTTTTTATTAAAATCTATAAATATATTCATATTTATATATTATTTGTAATACAATTTTATCCGCTAATACTAGTCAGATATATGAATTGTACCTTTAATTTGACTTGCTCAAAGAAAACACTCTTTCTGAATGAATCAAACAAAACTCCAACACATGCACAAAAGACAGCATGAGCATTTATAGCAAATAAACTAATGTAAATTTTATCCCGCTTGCTTTTTGAGCGCTGTCTTACACCCCTATGATTGGTCATTGTCTTCACCTGCTCAACAAAAAGGGCTGCACTTGGCTTTATAAATAAAAGTGATGTTCACCAGTGAGAGACGCAGGAAGAACAGCCTGTATGCGAATAATACACGGTTATCATGGGTAATCCATAATAGACACAGTGGAGAAAACTCGCACCTCAGGCACACTTGTGTCTGGATCCACAAGCATCGCTTTAACAGCCGAGAGGAGAGGAAAAGTTACAAACAGGCCAGCTAGTCAAGTGTCCAAAGTGTGAGAGAGAGAGAGAGAGAGGCAGAGTTTTACAGCATTTCTCCCTAGTATGGAAATAGCGGCTCGTGTACTGTGCCTTCTTTAATGTCAACGAAAGACTTTCCAGTAAACTCACAAGCAAATGAATTGTGCATAATTATCTACCTTTTAAGTAGTAGGAGCTTTTTATTTACTCGCCCTTGCCTCTTTCGCCATAGTATTCTACTGCGACATTACGCATAGGAGATAAATGACATCAGTATGTAATAACTGGTTATGATCTATTACTGAACCGATATTGAATTGTCCCCATCTGCATCGCGGTGCACCGAGGAAACATTTAAAATTAATTTTGCCACCACTAAAAATAAGAATTTATTTTTATTATTATTTTTTTTACAATTTCTTAAAAAGCATAGTTTACTATTAGGCTATTCATAGGCTATATATTGGTAAATACAGCTGATGTAGCATTTTTAATGTTAACTAAGATTTATTTAGGTTACTGCAAAAAAAAAAAAAAAGCTGCTTTTATTGTAAACGAATGTTTGTGTGTTTATTTGACTATTAATATTATACTAATTTAGGTGATTGACTGCTGGCATAACAATGTGGATGATGTAACATTACCGATAGTAGCTACGCGGTCAAAAACTTCTGCAGTTAATGCCCTTTTTAAAGATCCTTTCACTTAGCCAGTTTGCCTGTTTCCGCTTACACAAAAAAACAACTGGTTGTGTTTCTTGCAACAGGCATTGTCGCTGTACACTCGGGAACTCTGTGTCGCAAGCTATTTGTGTGCGTTTAGTGCGAGCCTCTGCTGAGTGAGAATTGTGAAGGCTTTTGTACTTGACGCACTCGCTGGAAACACAAGCATTTCTCATGTGAGATTGACGACTGTACAGACCAATATCAAAAAGGCCAAATCAAAAAAGGTCGGTCAGTTAAATTATGCAACTGTAATTTTTGTTTAGGCAGCAATAATTCTCCTCCGATAGCAGAACTGTTAACGTCAGAGCTTATCGATACTTCACTCCTTAATAATTTAGCACCGATACTGATAAAATACAGAGTTTCGGTATCCATCCCTATTCACACTCAATTTTATGTTTTAACAATTTTACTTCTTAAATATTAGGTTTGGGTGGTTAGTCCAAGGCGATGTCCATGCACATTTTGTCAGTAAAGCCGGTTCTGTAATCAGTTGTAAATCTCCAGCAGATGCTTAGAGAATTAGCAGTGTTTGAGTTTGTGGAAGATTTATTGGCGCAGTCTTGAAACAATGAAACTTTTGCTATTTGACAGCTGATGCGTCTCAGTGATCTATGGTCGTGTTGCTGGCTGCTGATCTGAAAGCACATGAAAATACCGCATTTATGAACATGTTTTTACTATTAAATCACCTCATAACTTCCGATGAGAGTTTGTATGAAATCATTCTTTGAGGTGTTTCAGTATTTGTGTGTTTTTTAGTCAAATGAAACCAATAAAAGCAGCTAATTCTTAGATTTACTATTGATCACAGAACAGGGTTTTCCTGACAAGTGCATGAGAATCCCAGCTTCTTCTGAATCGTGATCTAGATTTTCTTTTAAATAATCACAAAGTGCTATATATTTTATTGTGTTAATCATAACAGGTTGAGTATAAATCACAAATGATTCACTACAATTTGTATATGTTAAATTTCAATGAATAAGAGGACATAAACATGTACAAAAACATGTCTTCGATAAATACTAATCAAATAAAATGCATGACTTTTTTTTGTAAATACTTATTTTTATAGTTTGTTTATTGAAATATTAGACTGTGATGGAAATGTTTTGTGTGATGTTGGTCTTTCAACATGACTTTTTAACGTTTATAAAGAGCAGAATAAGAATGCTCAGGTCAAATACAACATAGGCATTGCAAGATTAAAGAATATGATTTTACCCAAAAGATGCTAAACATGGTAGAACTAATGTGGTTAAAAATAACTAACATAATTAAGCCATGCAATTACTTAAAAAACCAAATCAACAGATTGGCACAACAAACTGCAGTGAGGAAGGCTTGAGTGACATTGATTTTTACTCAGCCACATAAATGTATTAAAGAGGAGTGGGTGAGAGTGGGTGTCTTGTAGAGCTGAAGATCTTTGCCCAAACCCGACTTTAATTTCTATCATTTTAGACGGGGTTGGGTCGGGCCGGGCTTGGCTTGCGCAGTAAATGAACAGTCATGTGATGCATTTCGATTAGCGCGAGAAAGTAATCAACTCGTTTGTTACAACATTAAAATCCCTCCTGCAGAGGTGAAACGAATGATGACGGAGAAGTCAAAAAAAAAAATAATTTCGGTGTTTCGGTGGTCGCTCATACACTGCGTATTACGGTTGAGCGCTTGACAGCAATGCACAGCAAGCTGACAGAAAAGATGACGAGGCCACTCGCTACATTGCAACCGCTGTCATGGAAAATGAAGTGGATGTTCTTGGCTGGTAAAAGATGAACAAACAATCCTACCCAAAAGATTCAAAATTATCCAGATCAGAACTCTGCTTCTCAGCCTGTAGCGGCAGCAAAAGGGTGAAAAGGGTGTTTGCTGCTGCTGGACACACCATCCTGCCATTTACAGTGGATTTAATAATGTTCCTCCACAAAAAAAAAAAAAAACACTTAGCCTAATCTTGGAGAGTAAAGATTTTTAAAATTATAAATAAATATTAATTAAACTAAAAAAATCGTAATGTAGTCAGAGTATAAAAGCTAATGTTGACATTAGGCTTTTCTTTTAATATTCAGCTTCACCATCGCCTTAATGCCAGATTGTGAAGAAAAGTGGCGAAACAAATCTCGCAGAGCCTTTATATTAATTTCGTTATTGCCAAATACACGTCATTTATAATTTATTTGAATTTATTAGTTAGGAAAGACTTTATTGGTGCGTGTTGGTCAATTTAAAGGCCAAACGTATGTACCTAGCCCTATTTAGATTACTAGGATGTTACGATGTTACAGAGGACTTGTTTTAATTCTTTGTTGCAACTTCCAAGTGGCCAATAGCCTATGTTTGTTACTAATAAATGATGTTAAAACATGTATAAATGACTTATTCTTGAAAAAAGGCAAAAGAGCTCTGTGCAGGTGGACTTTAGAATCATGTCAGGCTATAAACCGGTTCGGGCTTTAAAAAGCTGTCACTCAGAATGTACCTGTCGGGCTCGGGCCCGATTACAGCTCTAGTGTCTTGCATATACTGCTGTAATGTTTTTTATTTGTGAAGAAGGGCATCAATTTTGCTTAGTCAAAAGCTGTTTTTTTTTTTTAGCTCTGTGTGTTTTATTTTATTGCTGTCATCATTTTCAGTAATACAGTAATATTACAATGCACATTAGTGCACACAGATGCAGAAAGTTAAGCTAACATCATTCAAACATGTTGACATAACTTCAGAGCATCTAAAGGGCCATTCACACCAAGGTTAACTACAAATTTAAAAATAACAATAACTGTGCCTAAACAAGTCATGTTTATTTTGCATTACCCCCTTGTAACCAGCAGGTGTCCTGAGATTTCTAGTGCAACTGACCAGTGAATCCAGCTTGTGTAGTCTAACCAAACTGAATTTAGTTTTCATAGTCTGTGTAGTTGAATAAAAACACCACAAATTATTTTCCCAGCATTTTCCAAGTAGGCAACAAAGACGCCGAAACTAGCACTGCATATCTAAAGCACTTATGGAGACGCAAGCCAATGTTGTTTATTTGTATGCTTTTTGTGAAAGAAAGAGGAACCAAATGTTGTTAGCGTTTTTTTATTTTGTCATTTCTCCTCCAGTATGTCTTTTATTTATTTTAAAATATGATAAATAAATTTGCCTTTGTGTGTATATGTCTTTTTGAAGATCCTTTGTGTGTTGATGAGACTTTAATATACAGTATTAAGAAGATTTATAGAAGAATATTGAAAATCTGTAACCATCGACATTCACTTTAGGAAAAACAAATACTATGCAAGTATAAAACAGAAATTTCATTTAGTTGGAGTCATCATTTAAGTAAAATCATAACAAATGGGACCAATCTTCTCTTAGACATTCGAATGATGTTGTTAAAAACAATATTGTATACTGTATTATTGTATTTATTAATGTTGTTATCCCTAATTGAGAAAAACATAGATGCAGCAAACAGATCTCA